ATATATATATATATATATATATATATATATGGATACAAGCATACATACATGCATACATATAACGTATTTGGTCTGGTTGCGTGCAGACCACGTCCTGAACTTATGTTCGCACGATCTGCGGGCATTCCATACGTGCAGCTTTCACCTTGTCCAAGGCTTGGGTTGGCTAGAACCTAAGCGCGCGGGAAGCGCGCGCGAAGGTTCTAATGTGCACATATATATATATATATATATATATGTATATGTGTATGTATGTATGTAGGTATGTATGTATGTATGTATGTATGTATGTATGTATGTATGTATGTATGTATGTATGTATGTATGTATGTATGTATATATGTATATATGTATATGTATATGTATATGTATATGTATATGTATATGTATATGTATATACACAATCGCATCGCTGATCGGCGCGGGCCCCCCGGCGGGCCCGGGAGCTGCCGCAGCGCGCGCTGTTTCTCAAGGCGCCTCTTTGGCAACGCGAAGAATGGGCGCGTGGCCAGCTGAAGCGGGGCCACGCGGAATCCTTTTTCGACCCGCGGCCAGCTGTTTTTTTCCCGCTGTTCCGCGCCGAGCGCCGACAACGAATGCGCTTTGCCGCGTTGCGTGCCGAGTGGAACTCGCCCAGCGAGCCCGCGACAGCTCCTCTGCCGCGTGGAATGCGATTCCATTGGCTCGGCAAAGAGGAGGGCAAACAGGAGAGGGAGTGAGAGGGCTTGCTGAATGGAGAACGCAAGGTTCAGGCCGATTGGGGCTCATGGCATGCGCCCGTGGGTACATAGAGGGAGGGTGCGATTTGCTGATTGGTCATGATTGATAAAAGTCTGCCTGCACCCCGACGCTGCGAACCCTAGACCGTCGCCGCATCTTGCTAGAACCAAGGCGCGCGCAGCGCGCGCGTGGTTCTAGTATATATATATATAGGTTTGCAAGATGTTGTAGGTTTGAGAACGTTTGGCATCGGAGGTTGCGGGTGCGGGTTATAATATGTGGGGCGAGATTGCTGGTGGCACTCGGCTCTTCGAGACGACTCCTCGACGGCCGTCGCAGTTCGATGACCTTCAATGCGTGGAGTTGCCAATCATGCAACGGGGGCGTGAAGAACTGGCACAATCGGTGCCCGTGCGGACAGTATTGCATTCAGAGCCAGTCCAGGGGAGTTCAGGGGTCAGAAGTCAACGCGCGGGGCGCCAGGCGCAGGCCATGACTCAGAACTACATCGGAAGGTTGACCCCCGTGTCTACCCGAGCGGGGGGACTCATTTGGCTTGTAAGCGCCGCCGTCCGGACCTTCGGAGTTGCCCGGATTCGAGCATGATCAACGTCCAGATGGAGATATTGGCTTATCTCGTCAACGAGAAGGGGGATGCGAACAGACGCGACACTGAGCTGATGGCATCGAGGTCGGCACTGAACAGTTCGAACTTAGTCAGATATCAGAAGCGAGGCTTCAAACTTCAAGCGGGGCGGCCAATAATCAGTCCGCCAACGAAGACAATCGGATGAAAACGTTACAGACCCAGAAACGAGAGAACGATCTGGAGATCTTCCTGTTGGAGAGCTATTTGAACGAGTTGAACGGACTTCCAGAGGAACCAGAGGGCGCAACAATGCGCGACGATGCTGGTCAGCAGCAGCAATTGCATCGGCAGTGCTGTGCGCAATATGGGCCACAGCATTCCAACGTGTACGAGACCAGGGTCTGCGCGCATCTGCCTTCTGCAAGCGACGGGGCAGCTCATTGGTGGTGTGGCGCAGGCGACGGCACCGCCGCAGCAGCGGCCGCAGTTGCAGCGGCCTCCTGCGCAGCCTGGGCAGATGCAGCCGCTGATCCAGTGGCCGACGCAGCCTGGGCAACGGCAGATGCGGCACATGGCGCAGCCTGAACAGATGCAGCAGCAGCCACGGGTGCAGCCTGGGCAGGAATTGCGCGCTCGTGGGCACATGCAGCAGGAGATGCAGCCTCGGCAGGCGCGGCATCAGACGCGGCCTCCGCATGTGCAGTCGGGGCACTCATTAATCGAATTGTTGGCTTCCATAAACATAATGGGCGGCAAGCATGAGAGACAGGGCTAGATGCTGGGCTCCGTGATTGGTAGGGCGCTGGCTTCGTGTGCCACGGATGCGGGGTCTTGCGGGCCATGGGTGGCGGGGGGGGGGGCGATGCCCCAAGTGCGCCGATGGGCGGGGCGGTGATTCCAGCGCCTCAGACGATTCCAGCATTGCCTGTCGCGCCGGCGGAGCAGCCGACGCCAGTCATCGCCCCCGCGGAGCCAGTGAGATCACGAGTGAGGACGGGTTTCGAGCATGGCGCGATAAAGAAGACTCTACTCCGCAGGAAGCGGAATTAATGGCGAGACCTGTCTTGGAGATGCCAGTCGAGCCCATCGCCCCCGCGGGGCTTTTTGACGCCCGCCCGGGTCGAGGGCCTGCGCTGACTCGCGCGGGCGCGTTCCCCGGGTGACCCATTCCATGTGTCTGGGGGAGACGGGCCGCGAGATCGACCGAGGTCAAGAGGGGGGTGGAGAAGATCGATCGGGCATGCCTCGAGGAGGAGGTCGAGAGGGTCGATCAGGCGCGTGCGTGCAGGCGTCGTCGGCGAACTCATCTGCAGCGACGGTGGGGGCATGCGCAGCGAGAATCATGAGAAAGGCTGCCACCTGGTCGCCGTCGTCCAGGATGGCCGAGAAGTGGATTTTGGTGGCGCCTGAATCCCTGGCGCCATCATCAGGATGAACAACGGCCGCCGCCTCGACCGCGGCAGCGGGGCTATGCTGCTGGCGGTTACGTGAGTTGCGAAGTGGGGCTTCTGGGCGGAGGAGGATTCATTGCGATTTCCCCGCTGCAGTCTCGCTGGGCCAGGCGATGGCGGCCGTGGGAATGTAGTTCAGACGTAAATCGATGTTGAAGCTGTGGGCATACAGAGTGCCCATGGTCGATCTATTGGTAGTGGCGGGGCCACAGCTCCAAAGTCTCGTTCGTTTCTAAGGTGCAGGGATTCTCTTTCCAGGGCAAGTCGCGAGCAATCCTCGTGTAAGAATTGCCGGTCAAATCTCAGGGGTACCACGTCGTCCGCGCAGCGAACAATGCGCGACGGTGGGCTGCAGGGGTCGACGTCGTGGGGGGACGGTGAGGAAATGTGCCTGAGAGGGCGAACAGTGCTTCGAGTGCGCTTCGGCTCAGAGTTTCTTGCCTTTCATATTCCTCCACGTTTGCTGTCCGAGCAGAAACTCCCCCGAAATTCTCGAGCTTACGACGGCTGCGACGACGCCGCCAGCATCCGCCTTTCCATAGACGGCATGCGCTATCTACGAGGGGCGGGGGCATGGGCTGCAGTCGCGATCGTGCTCAGGGATGATGAGTGCATTTTTTCGTTGGGGGGGGGGGGGGCGGGGGCGGTCGGGGAGGGCTTGCTGCGCGCAGTCCGATGGGCTTGAGCCCGGCCTGTGCGACGAGCGCGTGGAGGGCCCGCCAACAGTGCAAGTTTTTTAGTTTAAAGCATTTTTTTTTGGTTTACTGGGTTCCCTCCGAAGGACGGGCCTGCGAGGTCACCGCAGACAGTGGTTCGATGGGGGCGGCGAGGTCAGCTGAGGGCTTGAGTCTCCCATCGTCTGATCAAGACCGCGCGGCTTGTGGGCGTCGCGTGGGGGCTGACTTTCAGGGGGCCAGCCTCGGGGCAAGTCGCGCCAAGGCCCACTGGCCACCCTCGCGACGTGCCTGCAGAAGACGCGGTCGAAGACGCGGCGCGCAGCCCCCCCCCCCCTACCTCGCGAGGATTTGGGCCCAAGCTGTGGATTTAGGAGCGCAGGGCTTTGGCAATGGCAATGGCTTATCGATGGCAAAGACAGCCGCGCGTGCCCAGAGGTGAGTTGCATGCGCAATGATGATGAGAATGCTGATGCTGATGGTGATGATGATGGTGCTGAGGATGCTGATGATGATCATGATGATGACGAGGACGATGCGGATGAAGAGTCTGCAGCTACTGATGATGATGTTGATGTTGTTGACGATGCTGATGATGCTGCTGCTGATGATGAGGATGGTGATGCTGATGATGATGCTGATGATTATGCTGCTGACGCTGATGATGTTGATGGTGATGACGATGATGGTGATACTGATGCTGATGCTGATGCTGCTGATGATGGTGATAGTGATGATAATACGGATGATTATGGTAGTGATGATGATGATGAGGAGGAGGACGAGGAGGATGAGGATGGGGGCAGAGGAGAAGGAGGAACAGGAACAGGAGGAGGAGGAGGAAGAGGAGGAGGAGGAGGAGGAGGGGGAGGAGGAGGAAGAGGAGGAGGAGGTGGAAACGGAAGAGGATGAGGAAACGGAGGAAGATGATGATGATGATGATGATGATGATGATGATGATGAGATGATGATGATGTTGATGATGATGATGATGGTGATGATGATGATGATGACGATGATGATGATGATGATGATGATGATGTTGATGATGAGGAGGAGGAGGAGGATGGTGATGATGATGGTGGTGGTGATGATGTGATGATATGGTGATGATGATGATGATGATGATGATGATGGATGATGATGATGATCATGATGATGATGATGATGATCATGATGATGATTGATGATGGTGATGATGTGATGATGATGATGATGATGATGATGATGATGGAGGAGAGGAGGAGGAGGAGGAGGAGGAGGGAGGAGGAGGAGGAGGAGGAGGATGAGGAGGAGGAGGAGGAGGAGGCGGAGGAGGGGGGAAGGAGGAGGAGGCGGAGGAGGAGGAGGAGGGGGAGGAAAAGGAGGGAGGAGGCGGAGGAGGCGGAAGGAGGAGGAGGAGGAGGCGGAGGAGGAGGAGGAGGAGGAAGAGGAGGAGGAGGAAAGGAGGAGGAGGTGGAGGTGGAGGAGGAGGAGGAGGAGGAGGAGGAGGAGGAGGAGGAGGAGGAACAGCAGCAGGAGGGGGTGGAGGAGGAACCCACCCAATCCCGCCCCGCTCCCCTGCCGAGCCTTTCAGGTTGCTTCGGCCGCGCGGCGTGTCACCCGAGGGCCTCCCCGCGGGGCGGCGCGCCCCGCTCGGGTCGTGATGCGCCGCGGCGGGGGGTGAGCCCCACAGGCTCCGCCTGCTCTTCCTCCTCCTCCTCTTGCTCCTCCTCCACCTCCTCCTCCTGCCCCTCCTTTTCCTCCTCCTCCGCTTCCTCCTCCTCCTCTTCGTCCTCCACCTCCTCCTGCTCCTCTTCTTTCTCCTCCTCCGTTTCTTACGCTTCTCTCTTGCTCCTCCTCCTCCCCCTCCTCTTCCTCCTCCTCCTCCTCCTCCTCCTCCTCCTCCTCCTTTTCTTCCCTCTCCTCCTCTTCCTGTGTTTCCCTGGTCGCGTGACAGCGTGGCACGCTCCGTCCTTTGATTTATTGAATCGCTTCGCTCATTCCGCCGGCCCATACGGTCTCATGTCTGCCGTTTGCCCGAGGGCCTGGTGTCAATGCGGCGCTTTGGGGGTTCCTGGGGCCGCTTGGGGGACTCCTGGGGCGCTCGGGGGGGCATTTGGGGGGCCTCCTGGGGCCGCTTGGGGGACTCTTGGGGGCCTCCTGAGGGCCTCGTGGGGGCCTCTTGGGGCCTCTTAGGGGCCTCTTGGGGCCTCGTAGGGGCTTCTTAGGGCCGAGGGCGCGAAATTTTGTTTCGTGTTCCCTCTCTGGGGCCCCTTTGGGGGTGTTCTTGGGGCCCTCTTGGACCGTCTTGGAGGCTTCTTGGGCCGTCTTCGAGCCCTCTTGGGCCATCTTGGGGCCCTCTTGGGGGCCTCTTGGGCCCTCTTGGGGCGATCTTGGGGGCCTCTGGGGCCGTCTTGGGGCGTCGGGAACCGAAAAGGTGGAAGCTCCAAAATCTCTCAAAAACCTAAGGAAAAACAATGAATTTTGCCTCCGGGGGCCCTCTTGGGAGTGCTCTGGGAGGCCTCTTGGGGCGTCTGGGGGCTATCTTGGGCGTCTTGGAGCGATCTTGTGGCATGTCGGACCCCTCGTGTACCATCTTGGGGGCCTCTTGGGGGCCTCTTGGCCTTTCTTGGGGCTCTCGGGGACGTCTCGGAGCCCTGTTGGTGCGCTCATGGAGCGCTCCTGGAGCGCTCTGGGGGACTCCTCCCAGGACTCTCTCAGGACCTTGCCGGGGTACTTTTCGTCCGGGGACCCCCAGGGGCCGCCCCGCGCGCGCGAACTAGAGAATTCTTAACCAGTTACCGGAGATCTTAGCACGCCTCTGGCCCGGCCGGCGAATTGCGTGCTGTGTGTGACCTTCGCAGAGCAGCGCGCGGGCCCTTTGCTGGTCAACCGGTACGAGCGCAACATCTCGGACAGGAAGGGCCATCAGCTGCGGCGTCTTCGCTCGGAGCAGCGTCCGCAGCAGCGCAGGCGCCATGGAAAAGTGGCCTGCGCTTCCGAGGAGGACCTGCGTTTGATGAATGGGGTGATCGGGTGCGTACTGGAACCTGGTGGTGGGCATTCGTTTTGCAGCTCGCATGGGGTATAGTCACCCGTGGAATGGACGCCCTTCGGGCTGGTCTGCCAGCTCGCGAAGCCCAGACTGCTTAATTCATGGAACTGTCCTGGAGTATACCAGGCTCTCTGTCGGGCACCTGCATTTGCAAGGGGTGTCCCAGTGTTCCGAATGTTGTCGACTAAAATTTTTCGTGGCCAAGGCTTGCCCCAGTGTCGTATTTTTGGTGGCGATGCAGATGTCGTGGACCTCCACCATCGGCCTCGATTCTCCCTCTCCCCCCCCTCTACAACAGGGCTACAACTACGTCGCTACATTGGGCTACAACAGAGGAGTGGGAACAATTGGAACATCAGCTCGTGAGGTACGCATGATCCTGAGCAAGCCTCCGACGCGCGCTGCCTCTCATGCGAGGCCATGGCCTCACCCGCCTCTGGGTGCATGCCCGCACAGGCGATCCGATCCGATCCGATCCCCTCCCCCCTTCCTCCGTCGGTCTCGTCCCCTCCCCTCCTCTCCCCTCCGTGCCTCAGTCCCCCCCTCCCCGACCCCGTCCTCCCCCCCCTCTTTCTCCCCTTTTCCTCCTCCTTCCTCCTCCGTCCTCCCTCCTCCCTCCTCCCTCTGCTCCTCCTCCTCCTCCTCCTCCTCCTCCTCCTCCTCCTCCTCATCATCCTCATCCTCATCCCCAGTCCCTCCCCCCCCCCCCTCCCGTCTTCCCCTTCCTCCCCCCCTCCCTCCCCCGATCTCGTCCTCTCCTTCGTCCTTCTGCCACTCGAACGGTAGCTCAGCCTCTCTCACCCCTACTTTGCCTGGGGAGCCGCCGTTTGCAGGAAGCTTCCCTTCGCACCTGCTTTTCGATTTGTTTTCAGACTCGCTTCTTAGATCGTCTGGGCAGCACCAGCCCATCCGCCAGGACCGGTGACGGGGAAGGCGCGCACTTACCTCAACACGTACATCACCGAGACCACCAGGGACCCTGGCCACACCGCCGACGACGACGACGAACCCGTGGCGCGCCGGAGCTTTCAGCGATCCGTCCCGGGCTTGCACAGACTGCGTCAGCGCAGCTCGCGAACCCTACGCCCTCATTGCACCCGCCCCACAATTCTTGGACAGTTGCTCGACGCAGCGTTCACATCTATGGTGGCAGCTGAGGGTCCCGAGCTTCTGGCGACAGTGTCGCAAGAGCCCTGGGAGCAACCGGGAGAGAGCGGGGAGGCAACGGAAGGTCTGGCGACTGCGTCGCCGGCTTTCCGAGGGGCAGTGAAGCAGAATTGGGAGCGCAGTGCACAAGCGTTAACCTCAAACCGTCTTTGATTCCTTGGTTTATGATATGACATTTTATTTTGCCCGCGCGCTGCCATCGGCATGGCAGGATTGGGCCCCGATGTGCGCACCACTTGACACTTGTGCAACTGGCGGTGCTCACCATTGGGACCAAGTGGCGTTCGACGAGCACCCCCCTGACTGCTTCGCGGGATGCTCCGACCACCGAGATCGTCACCGTCGCGCGACCGAAGCAGGCGCCCACTGCGCATGCGATGGGGGGGCGCATCCGAGGCGAGTGTCCACGGTGGTTCCGGGGCGCCCTGCCCGAGCGGCGCCGCCAGTGGATCCCCGGCCTCCAGGGCCCCTGGGCGCGTGGAGGGGGGCGCATTCCAGATGGGGGCCATCGGAGTGGGCATGAGTGCCATCGCCAGCTGCCTCGCCCGCGTGGGCGCGGGCGGCGGCGCCTGGCAGCGCGCGACACCTCCTGGCCTGGGGGCCTGAGCAACAAACCCGAGTGCCCTTCCAGACGTGGGCGCGCGAGGTGGTAATCTGGCCAGTGGCGAACACAGACCTCGACGAGTTTCGCGAGGCGGCTTGCGTTTTGT